AAAAAAAAAAAATGACAGCTTTTTTGACATCTGTCAAGAACTCAACATAGTGCTAAAAAACAAAATACATGTGTACCAGATAGTGTTAAAAAAAAAACCAAACTAACTTAGAACACCTATGTCAAATACATGATACATTGTAATTGTTTATTTCCAATCTAGACCATTTGCATACAATGAAATAGAATACTGTTTACAAATGGAATTATTATGCCACTATTATAATTAAATTCTCATAGTTGAAAAGTGCTACTAATAACGAAAGCAGCTTTCTAATTTGATGTAGGGGAAAATGGGGATCAAAGTTTAAAAGTTGAAAATCTGATTTTTGTATACTTTCTACATTCAGTGAAGAGCTACAACAGTCATGTTTAAATTTTTTTTCTTAATAAACCCCAATTTTGGGTATAAAATTTGGGTCTTTGTGGTATACTCCAAGTGTAGAAAAGTGCTTTAATACATGTGGTACCTTAAAAAGGTACTCAACCATACCATCTTCATATATTCACTATATACCATACACACAAGACAGATTGTAGATTGCCATTGCCACTTTTTCCTTTTTAAACTGAAGACAAATCAAAAAGTCCGTTTTGGAAACAAAGCATTTAAGGAACTAGGAAATGGGGTGTGTGTATGTATGTATATATGTGCATGTATACACACACACACACACACACACACGTGTATGTATATTGCAACATTTTATCTTCCAGTCCAAAGTCAGAACTCTATAAAAATCTTAGTTTTGTTCGAGTGAGAACTGAATTGCCTGTGTGTGTTGAGTGTTGCATTCTGCTGACCTGGTCCAAGCAAGTGCAGTGCAGCACTGCAGAGAGCGTGATGATCTAGTCACTGTCAACACTTCTTCTGTAGAAACAAGGACTGCTTTTTAAACTGTTTCTACTGATGGCACTTGACAAAAATACTCACTTTTCTATCAGTTATTTGTAACTGGTAGATGCTTGATGTAGTCAGATATTTTCTGTTGAACCATGCTTGACAGTACTATAAATTAGGTTAGCTTTTAAAGTCTTACAACATCTTCATATTGTGCAGTTTTGGATAACATTTTGATAAAGGTATGAATTTTGTTGGATTTGGTACATACTTTTTACCCTCTATTGAAATAAATTATACCTTCAAAAACAAAAAAGCAGTGTAACTACGACACCATCTTTTTCTCATTCAAGAAAGTGTATCAGCGAAAGTAAATAACAATGACCATATTAGAAGAAGTGAACAAAAAAAATCAGAGCAGACTTTGATTAATATAAATAATTTATAATCATTAGTGCTGTAACTTTCATTAAGGCACCCCTTGGAACTCATCCAGTCGGTAGCGACCACACACATGGAAGCTACTGTGTAACTTATGGCTAAATGCAGATGTCCTGCTTGATGGACTCACAGCAGCTGAGAGCCACCGCACTCTCACATATACAGGCCATCAACACGCACACAGAAACCAGATGGAATGGGGTGAGCAAAGAAACTAAGAAAAGGCTCAAACGAAAAAAGCAAAAGTAAAAAGGGATTAAGTAAGGCTAATTGACCTCTTACTTCACACAGTGGCTTTAATAATTGAAGAATTTCACTTTGTATGCCTCCACTATCCAAAACAGCACAAGTCAGTGTCTTTATCCAAACATCATGATTTTCACTTTGAGGAATCCACAGGCTTGTATCATCCAAACCTTCTAAAGGGTTTTCTCTGTCAAGTCTGGGTACTTCTAAAAACTAGAAAGGAAGTGATAAAAATATGTAAACAAGGTAATTAGAAATAAATTTTACCTTTCCTGTGCAAAACAATTATCTAAACAAATATATTTCTAAATAAAACTAAATATAGTTAAAACTAAATCTAGAGGCAATGGCTATCTCTTAAAATTAAAATACACTTATGTTTATATGAAAGGCAGAGTGGTACAGTAAAAAATTACTGGTCTGGACAGTAGGAAACCTGGGTTCTACTCTTGGCTCACTAGTAGTGTATTACATGAACCACAAACTCTCCCTCATCTGTCTCATATACACAACTAGTCCAAATCTACCACACAAAACCGATTTCAAATGAAATTTTAAAACGTTAAAACTAATGTTGTATGGGTTATACAACTAGTTTTATTAACAGTTAATGTTACCAGTAATTTAAGACCAAAATTGTACTTACGATGCATTAAAAGTACTATGTCAGTGATGGGCATATGCCCTGAAATTGGTGAAAACACAACTATGTATTCCTCTGTCACTTAACGAAAAGAAAATATGAAAGAGGAGTGCTTAGACTAAAGGAAAAGTGAGAATTCTTAAATACCCTTTATCAAGTACTTTCCATGGAACCTTGTTATAGCAAAATGGAAAAAGGGAGAATCTATACGTTTATCTTTTATTTCACCAGGGGATTGTGATACTTTAACTTGCTATGGAAATAAACACTTGCAGATCACAATCCCTATAAACCACATTGAGGATCAATGGCTTTCATGGGATCAAAGTAAGGGTTTCCTACTCCTAAGTAAAAAGGCTTGTCATTAAGTCCCCCCAAACAACCATCGCTTCTCTAGGCTATCTTAGCTTTTCCACACTTCCATAATTAAAAATACAAATCCCTTGGATTCAATAAGTACAGTTGGAGTTACTTCTAAGAAAGGGCAAATGTTAGTATAATACTATTTAAGCAATTTGATATTCACATTCCACAGCAAATAAAACTGTTCTAGATATATTGGATATTCAATAAACATTTATTATTTGAGAGACCTTTTTTCTCGATGTTCTAAAAGGTTGTAGATAGATGAGCATGGGATCCGTTGTTGTCTTATAAATCTCCCAGAAATGATGTCCAGTCTTTGTAGCTAAAATACTTTTCAAACAGATAACAGCAGCTGATCGCACATTTACGCTGAAAAACACATGTAATTAAAACACCTATAAAGTATATCAACAATTAATCTTGAGGAATGTTAAGTAACCTCCAAAGAAAAAATTGAAACCCAAAATCTAAAGTTTATATTATCAGGAAAATTTTATCATTTGTTAGGAAATTCTACATTTATAAAATTCAGTAACACCAAAACCAAAATTATCAAAGGATATTTAATAGCCTTCAATAAGCCTGAGTTACAACTTCAACAGCAATTCCATTCATTCATACAATAAAATTTAATTATGACTATTATAAATCAAAAGGACTCATAAATAGGAATGCTTGGAAATAACACTGACCAATAAGAATGAATGAGAATGTCAACACTGATTCACCTAAGAAAAACAGTATTTTGATAATATTTTCTGTAAGAGATACAAATAATTTGGGATAAAGCAGAATAGCATTTCCCTCCAAATAATAAAATTCTTGGCTAGAAAAATTTTAAACAAACAGTAAGTATGCACTTATTCTGGTCAGAACCTAGTTGAGATCATTTGGTAAGGCATCTAAAACTCCTTAATGAATAACTGAAGGTTTTCTGTTGCAAATAATTGGGGAAAGGAGGGTTGTAATACAAGAGGACAGACAATATAACAGCTGACAAAAAAGTCATAAAGCTTGATACTGTAAGTGATGATGGGGTAGCCACTAAAGGCTTAAACTACCACCTGTTAGGTTTCTTTGGCTAGTCTGTTCTCCCTAGAATTTAACACGGATCTTGTCTGGTATGTTCACAGAGCCAGCAGGACTTGAACTGGATGTGCAGGAGTGAGGGAAAGAGAGGACTGAAGGATGAATCCAAGCTTAGGGTTTAAGCTTCTATGTCTTAAATTGAGACATCTAAAGGAATTAAGACTTCACTTGATAGCTCACCAGCACATATAGTATTAGACTCAATGACATTTTTGTCAGCCATCATATTTTCAGCTCTCTTATGTGACAGCTCTCCTTTTCCTAACTTTTTGCAAAAGAGAGGGACCTTCAAAAGTGCCTGTCACATAGTAGGATTTCAATGATTATGTGGATAAAAACTATTTTCATTAAAACACTTGAGATTAAAAGAAAAGTGTAGCAACTTAAGAGAGAAAGCTTTAGTTATTGGAAATGTTAATTTACAAGAAGTATCATGCTCCTTAAATGACAGATTAAGTAAATGTTATCAGATATAAAGCATCACTAAATACTCACCAATCTTCTACTAGTGTATTATTTAGGTAGTTCAGCATTATGAAGGTCCACTGAAGTTCTTTATCTTCAAATAACTCAAGGGCCTTAATATAAGATTTATCTCTATTATGTTGTATAGCTATGGTAGAGAAATCTATAGGGCCCACTTCTCCCAAGCAGCTTCCAACAGCCTCTACATATAGAAATTCCATTTCAGTGAAATTACAGCTAAGAGAGCTAAGAGATCATACATAGAACAGAAATATTCTGATTTCAAAAACATAATGTTTTGCCATCCTTCAACATTTAAGTATTTCTCAAATATTTTTAATAGATTAAAGAAGCTGCAAAATATTGTGTTATTTCCTTTACATATCATCCATGTGGACAACAGATATTTCCCCCTTATAAAACATATCCAGGATATAGATTAACTAGCAATAGAACATAGATACTAAGCATGAAAGTCTAAACAGAGCTACTGTATCAACAGTTGAGTATCAACACGGAGTATCAACAGACTTTAAAACTATTAAAAAAATGTTAAGGTATTACAAATGTAAGCACACAAATCTTAAGCAGTCATTTCAGCAGAAATTCACACACATACACATTTCTCCCCGAGTGATCACTACCCAGATAAACACAGAACATTTTCTGAAGGGAGTTCAGCAGGCCAGAGACTCCCTTATGCTCTTTCCCAGTAACGTGGAATCTATTAAAATATGTTCACAAGCTTTTTGATATCCTCCTTTCAAAAGGTGAAGCCTAAGTTCCCCTTCCCTTGAGTGTGAGCTGTACTTAGTGACTCACTCACTCCCTCCCACCTCAAATTAGTAAGGCTTCTAATTACACTTTTAAAATACCACAAATAAGTCTAAGGAATCATCTGGCATCTTGCTGTGTCTGTGGCTGCACAGCTTAGATCTTATTCATTAGCCTGATGAACTGCTCCTTTTTCAGAAATACAGATACCAACCAAAACTTTTCTGATATCCTTATTTTTAACTGTTGTGACTTATTAAACAAAAGCAGCTGAATTTGATACAAGTTCAATGTCATTTCCTTCAACAATCAACTCATTTTTCTGGGCTTAAGATACTGAACAAGCAATGCCTACCCTCATCTGAACCCTGAGGACGTACTTTTCGCCCAAGAAATGTCAGATTGCAACAAGAAAACCATTCTCCTGAATAACGATGTTGATGGGGAAGTGAGCTGAGCATACACAGATCTCAACTTGTAATGGAAGCCCAGTGTAACACCCTTGATCGTGTTCTGTACATGACTACAGATAGAGCAAAAGGTAGCCAGTTCCTTTCTATTTCCCCATTTGTCAACCAGAAGCCTCTTCTTTTTCTTTCCAAAGAGACTGGGCTCTACTTTGATGTGACTGAAGTCCCTCCACAGGGTTCCTCTGGAGCCCATGACAATAACTGTGTGTCCCTTCAGAGTGACGTTGACATTTTCTGGAATGTCAACAGTACGGATTCTGAGAATGGGGTCTTCACTCTCACAGTTGATGCATCAGAGAAATGGCTCACTTTTAACAAGGAAAATTGTACAGGTCTTTCACCTCCTTAATTAAACTTCCCCCAGGTATTACATTCTCCTAGCTGCTACTGTAAATGGAATTGTAAATGGAAAGGAATTTCCTTTTTAGGTTGTTCAAAATTTAGACTGCTGGGGTATAGAAACACAACTGAATTTTGCTTGTTGATTTTGTATCCTGCAACTTTGCAGAATTCATTTATTAGCTCTAATAGCACAGCTTTCTTTGGGATTCTCTATGCACAGGATCATGTCATCTGTGAACACAGTTTTACATCTTCCTTTCCAATCTGGACACCTTTTTCTTGTCCAATTCAGCATATTGGTGAATATGATTAAAGTGGGAAGCCTTTAGAGGGAGAAAAGCTTTCAGTCACTATTAAGCATGATGCAAGCTGTGGGTACAAACCACTACGATTTTATATTACAGAGGAAAGCCACTTAGGGCTCCTATAGCAAATCAATTTTGTCCCCAGAAGCAGTGCTGCTATGGACAAAAGAGTAAATTCCTTAATCAGAGGAAACTTATATGGTCCTAGTAAGGTTCCACTCCTTGGTCTGGGTGTTACATGCACAGGTGTGTTATTTGTGAAAATTCATCAAGTTATATACTTCACTGTACATATAATAGATCTATTTCAATAAAAATTTTACAAAAAAAGAAGCACCCTAGGCTCCCACTGAGAAGTTAAGGAAGACTCCACTGAAAGATTGTACAATCTATGAAGCACTTCTTCCTCCCGTTTTCCTTTGAGCAATGCTGTCATGACAACTTCAAGCTGACTTCATTCAATTTTCTCATCCTGTCATCACTAAATGTAAACACCCATGCTAGGCATGATGTTAGCTATTTATATGATACCTGACCAAACGGTAGTAAGAAAGGACCTGAATATGGTCTTAACATTTGATTAACTCTAGCCCTCAATTTTATTTGTTACACGAAAAAGATATTAAGTACTAGTCAGTTACATTTGCACATGTATCACAAGTCAATGTATTTGCAACTTAATGCTACAAATAGGTATTTCTGACTTTCCAAAGTACTTACAAGGTGTTTTACATTAATAGTTATGCATACATGTAAATTACTTAGCTTTACACTTTATGTCTAAGGAAGGGAAATATGAAAGGAGGGCTTCTTAGGGACCCTGGAACTGAACAGAAATGTAACTTACCTGCATCTCACATGTCCCAAATACCCCAAATGACAAGCTTTTACTTATTTTGAAAACATCATAGAGATGACTGTTCAAATATTAAAAACTCATAACCTTTCAGACAGTTTACCTAAAACTTCTCTTTCACCAGTGTGGTTTATTGCCATCTTGGATAACTGCAACAAGCTGACAACTAGCTTCACCATTATGCCATCTTGTGGGTTATCTAGGAACAGTTTGAAAAAAGTAGTTTAAATTATAATGGAGATAACACTTTTCTTTACAATATGCTTATTTATTAGATTTTCTAATTAGAGAATTTTTATAAAAGTTTTTTAAAAAGATTTTAAATCATAAGCAGTTCAGAAAATATGAAATGGATGCATTTTAATTTCCTTATGAAATCGGACCACGTAAAAATGATTAGCAGTTTTTGACAGACAAATGTCTTAAGTTGTGCAGAGGTCAATACTTCAGCAAAATCACAAAAAGAAACATACAACATTTAAGTTAGAAAGGACCTTGGAAGCATGCTTGTTTTAACCTCTAGCATTTAGTCTTGTCCAAGAGAATTCCTGCAGTGATAGAAATGTTCTATAATCTGCACTATCCAATGACAGCCACTAGCCACGTTACAATGAGAACCTGACATGTGCTAGTGTGACGAAGAAATGGGAGTTTTAAATTTCACTGAACTTTTTAAACTCATTTAAATTTAAATAGCCACAAATAGCTAATGACTGTATTAGACAAGGCCAAAAAAAATATCCAATGAAATACCCAAATATACAAACAAGAACAAGAGATAGAGGTGTTCATATTATACACACACACACACACACACCTCAGAACAAATGCACTAGAAATTCTGAGCTCAGATGGTCAAAATTAAAACTTGTTTTTAAAAGTACTAAAAATAAAATGAACACAATAGAAATATGAAATTAATGAGACTAAGATGAACATCAAAACATAAATAGGAAGTTTCCCCCACATGCAATACTATAATAACCTAAATTCACATCAAATTAACATAAAACTGGATGTTTAATGTAGTAAAAAAGCTAAACACATATTCATATATGTGTACATATAAAAACATACATACAAATATATACATATACAGCTTAAAGGCTTAAAATGAGACATACTTCCTTTACTTAAATAAGCTGCAGCAGTAGGCAGATACAGATTACCTTGTATGCCTGGCTCTGAGGAATTCAAATTTTTATTTTAAGTGGTAGGAAGTTGTTAAAATTTTTAAGCAGTAAAATCACATGATCATATTTGGGTTTAGAGAAAACATTCTGGCAGTTGCAGAGGGTGGATAAAATGGGAGTAGTTCAGGTGAGCAGACCACTTAGGAAGTCTTTTTCTTTTATGGGTAGATGAGAAATGATGAGGGGTTTCAAGCAGGTGATGCAAGTCTAAACAAAGTCCATGGCAATTAAACCAATAGCAAGAACTTTTAAGATTCTTTAAAAATGAAATAGGTACAAATAACCCACGTCATTAAAAGTACTACCCTGAGATGCTCTCATAAGATCCATCATCTGATCTTTATGTTGTTCTAGTTGTCTTCGAAGATCCTTCAGTCCTTCAAGCCTTGTCAAAGGAAGTGCACCATAAACACTTACTGAGAGAAAGTGGTTAATTTCCTAGGAGAGAAAATTAGTTAACAATGAATACTTGCTTTTGACATGTATTGGTTAAGTCTGTGAAAAAAACTCA